TTTATGAAATGAACATCAAAACAATAACTAAAGTCCATCTGTAGATATAACTACAGGACAAAATCCCCCTCTCAAGCACCAGTTGCCAGAATGTCCTCATGCGACATTACTAAGGCTCGGCTGCCGTTGGCTGGCCAAAGTAATAGTTTTTGTATTGACCTTTTTACCCTATCGTCAGCCAATAGAGTAGAAGAACACCTACCACTCCAAGGAATGCACTCTCCGCAAAATCTTTGGAGGCCGTCTCTTCTCTACGATCGGGATTATGTTCTCCATGAGCTGCATTTTATTCAAAACCAAGCAAAAACTAAATAGTACATTTGAAACGCAGGATGAGTGAGGATATGAAATGTAAAATTGGCATCCAGGAGTCACTTATTAAGGCAGGACATTATTGACCGAACGCATACATTTAAGAAAAATACACATTTGGTTGAGCCACCAAAAATGAAGACGGGAGAAAAGAGAAAATTTAAATGAAGAACTCCAGTTGTGTTCCAAATTCATACATAACATCTACAACTACAAGTGATATGCTTCTGGTTTGTGGTAAATATTCAGATTTTACAATCTTGTTATTCCTGCCAGCTACTGTCCACGAGACTAGTGTGCACGTACTCATCAACATTAAGACAAATATTACTAATCAGGCAATTTTAGAGATGTCATAAAGAGAAAGAAAGAAAAAGGAAACAATGTGCTTATCAGATATTACATCGTTGACTAAGGAAATGAATTCTCAGTACCGTTAGTAGATTGATATTTTAGTTACACGGGTAGTTAGATGTGATATTGGAGATGATAACCATAGAGCGGGCTAATTGATATCTGAAAAACTTGTGGAAGTAGCCGGTGAGTTGACCATTTCAGATGGGAGGTAAGGACAGTTTACCCTTGGAGCTACCCATGTAAGATGCAAATAGAGTTATATGCTAAATATTTATGTAGAGTGACATGATCAAAAGAACTAGGGAGTGGCCAGCAGTTGTTGTGTACAAACTAAAACTCATGTTATAAGCTTATTTTGTTCAAAGGTGATGCTAATTCAAAATTGACTTCATAAGTTGATCGCAACCAATTTACATAGTACATACAGGCTTTCAGCAAAGTAGCACCTTATGTTCAAGCAGAGAGATGGGAATATGAATGTGCAGCTGATACATTGTGCCAAAACTGCCAATTTTATTTTTTCTCTAGTAGTGAAAACAGTGAAAATAATTGGGGGAACAAGCATAAGACTAAAGTCTAGCATTTGAATTTGCAAGATCTCGGTTGATATTGCATGCAACATATGGATATATAAACAGGAAAGAACAGTCAATCACAATTTACCCAGTCAGCAAGCTGAAGGATGAACAATGAGAAAAATTGGACAAAAATAGCAGATTTATACCTGTTTGTATCTCTTCTTGTTCAGTTCGTCCTGCAATGCAACATAATCTTATGGAGAACCTTCTCAAATATGATAAACAATATAAGAAAAATGGCAAAGAAGTAGTGTGCTTTCTCTACTTCTCCTATCACATGAGAGGTGATCAGTATAAATTAGTAAGAAACTTTGATTTATGCAATCCTCATTTATTAAGTTTATATTAAACTTTGATGGCATAAACCACAGCTTTTCTGCTTATGAGAGTAACAGATGTTTTCTTTCCACCACAGCATTGTTTATACAAAGAAACAATGGTCCAAAAATACAAAGAAACAATAGGTCATTCAGAGACTTCAAACAGTTTCGCCACGTTTGTTAGTTATGTTATTTTCATAAAAGGGATCCAATCCATATACCTCTTCTTTAACAAGCCTAGCATTTTCTTCCTCAAGGTGTGTCACCAGAGACTCCAACTCCACCGTGTAAGCCTTGAAGCAAGCAAGGAAAACAACAATAAGAGAAACATAAATAAGCCCCATTCACCATTACCCAGAACAAATCATCCTGATCAAATTAATCACAATAAATAAATGAGAGCAAACGCCACGCCTAATAAATATTAAGAACCAAAAAGAAAAAGGACCAAAAGCAAAAATTAATAATAAAAAAAAAACCTGCTTTCGCTCCCTTGACCTAGCGGCAGATTCCCTGTTCTTAATCATCCGCCTCTGCTTTTGCTGCGTGGCCTTGTCCAGCGGTGGCTCCTCCATGGCCACCCTTCTCTTCCCCCTTCCGCTCCCGCCGACTGCAGCCATCCCGTTCCCAAACTCTACGCCGAACCCGTTCTGCGCGCACACCGCCGGCGGCGGCGCGAATTGAACCTCCGCCGCGGCGGTATTCATCATGACCGCCTCCATCCCGAAGGCACCCGGCGCCGGAACCCTAGCTTCCACCTCGTTCCCAGCCCCCGCCTTGTTAAGGAAATCCTCCAGAGTCATCCCCGGCTCCGCGCTACCCCCGCCACTCACGATTTCCCTCCACACCTCGTCCACCGTCTTGCTCCCGTTGGCATTCCTCGATTCCGCACCGCCGCCGCATTCGACGGCGGCCGATCCTCCTCCTCGTCCTCCCCCGACGCCGCCGCTGCTCTCCAGAGCGAATGCGTCGGAATCGGGGTAGATGTTCCTGAGTATGTCGTCCATGTTCATGGACTCGAAACCCCGGGCGCGATCGGAGTGAAGATTTAAGGTGGAGGTTGTGGTGACCTTACGTGGAAGATCCGGATTGGACGGTGAACTTGATGCCATCACCTTCGGCGACGCCATCAAAACATTTAAAGGAACAGAAAAAAGTACCTGCCCGCCGATTTCTCGGTATTTAATCAAATTTTCTTTTGATTTTTCTTCCTCGTTTTCACAGACTGAATTGAAAATTCAGTTTCAGAAAAAAATAAAATGAAGTACGAATGGTGAAAGTGTCTTTATCTGCAGATATATAGAAAAGATGGGTGAGATTGGTACAAAGCAGAGTAGAGATTTAAAAAAAATAAAAAATAAAATAAAAAACAGGACTGAAATGCAATAAATAACGTCACATGAAATGTCTTTATCTGCGGGTACGTCCAAAGCCTGTGTGGATCATTCAGTGATTCAACATCTATTTATTGCATTTTATTTATTTTGTTGTTAGGGAGACTTAAGAATAGATAGGTAAAGTCAAAGCTCGATGCGTCAACCTTTTCATTCTGGCAAATAATAATGGGTACTTTATGAATAAAAATAAGGGAAAAGTTTAAAAGTGGTCCTCCATGTTTAGGGGTATCTAGACTAAGTCTCTATTATGTTTTAGTGCCCAATTTTAGTCCTTAAAACAAATAAATGTAGTCCCTATAATAAGGAAAGTCCATTTTTGGTCTTCCATATTTAGGGGTTATCCAGACTGAGTCCCTATTATGTTTTGGTGCCCAATTTTAGTCCTTAAAATAAAAAAATGTAGTCCCTATAATAGGAAAAAGTCCACTTTTGGTTTTCCATATTTAGGGATATCCAGACTGAGTCCCTATTATGTTTTGGTGCCCAATTTTAGTCCTTAAAACAAAAAAATGTAGTCTCTTTGCCTTAATTTTTGTGAATTAACGGTTCATTTTTGCTCGACTGTGATGTTCTTTATTTTTTTAAAATTTGTTGACTAATGTCAACTTTGACCAAAGAAAAATAAAAGAAAATTTAAATGCTGAAAAATATATTAATCAAAAATTAAACTAAAACAAGAAATCGCACTAAATTAAATTAAAATTTTTGCTCGTCTGATTTCTATTTCCCTAGCATTCGCACTGCGGAGCAAGCCTGGAATCACAGCTACTGCTCTTGCACCCATTTCTGGGTCATGCCATCGAAAAAAATTGCACCTATCAACCCTCTGTTTTTTTAACCATTTCTTTTCATCGGTCCAATAAATAAGAAGAAAGGGGTATTCCAATTGAAGTTCACGAAAAGTACTTACAGGATTGGGATTATCATCCTTCCAGCATGTAGTCAACTTTGCAACCAGCCCACATCTACAAAATACCATACTATTTCCATCCACTTGATCGGATTTAGTCCCTAGGCGGTTAGATTTTTTTTCTACCTTTCACTGTAGTTCACCATTTCTGCTTTTTCTTTTACTTTTCAGCATTTAAATTTTCTTTTATTTTTCTTTGGTCAAAGTTGACATTAGTCAACAAATTTTAAAAAAATAAAGAACATAACGGTCGAGCAAAAATGGACCGTTAATTCACAGAAATTGATGTAAAGAGACTATATTTTTTTTTGTTTTAAGGACTAAAATTGGGCACCAAAACATAATAGGGACTCAGTCTGGATACCCCTAAACATGGAGGACCAAAAGTGGACTTTTCCCTATTATAGGGACTACATCTTTTTGTTTTAAGGACTAAAATTGGGCACCAAAACATAATAGGGACTCAGTCTGGATACCCCCTAAATATGGAGGACCAAAAGTGGACTTTCTTTATTATAGGGACTACATTTGTTTGTTTTAAGGACCAAAATTGGGCACTAAAACATAATAGGGACTCAGTCTGGATACCCCCTAAACATGGAGGACCACTTTTGGACTTTTCCCTAAAAATGAAGTTACACTAGGTGGTTTGAAAAAAAAAATATAAAATATAAAATAATAGAAAAAACACATGTTATCGTATAAAATGCAAAAATAGAAAATACCTCATTTTGTTTATAAATATATTAATTAATAAATAATTTTATTTTTCTAATTAATACTAAAAAAAATATTATTGTTATAAAGATAAATATAATTTATTTCCAAGTAAGTTTCCGAAGCGTGCGAGCCAGCCATTTAGGCTCAACACGTTTTGAAATTATATTAAGGGGGATGAATATCTCTTACAGTTGTTATATTTATGAAATCTATAACAATTTGATAAATGGCACGCACGCATAAGTGTTAGTGTGACGGTATAAAATGAATTATAAATCAATAATTTGTATGAATTCAAAATCAAAATAAATATTTAAAAATATGAATTAGTGCACCAATAAAAATATACACTATTCATGAAAAAATTGCATCGACCTAGCAATATTCGTGCAAATAAATATTTATGAATAGTTGTTGCAGTTCAATAAAAAAGTCTTACTTTTCTATATATAAATTATTTTGAAAACATGGCAAAAATACTTTCATGGATGTTAAAATTGAAATTATTAACATGTTTGAAATTTTCACCATCCTTTTTATAACATTCTAATTTTATAGATAACTTTTTTTGATAATATTTTTTTGAATTTTTTTACTTATATCATATAAAAATATCGATATTATTTATTATTACATAAGTACAAAAATATATATCTTAAATATATAAAAATAATATGGTGATATGTATATGCATAAGTGTAGAATATGCTTATTTAATATTAAGAAAAATATATTAATTTTTTTTACTTAATTAGATGCCTAATACATCAAGTGTCGTATCAGTCGTGCTTCACAGTTTTTAACTTTATATGTAATTTTAGAATTTAGATAAATAATTATTTATTTTTATTAGGTTGACTACATACCGATTATATTTGAAATAAATATCATTTTTAAAAGAATACATACCAATTTCTATTACTTTATAATATAATTTATAGTTTTATTTTATATAATTTAATTTAATTTGATAAATAAATTTAAATTTTATTTATAAAGGTATATATTACTGTTTTATATTTTATATATATAATATGGATGTGAAATCGAAAATCGTTAAAAGATAGTTAATTTGATATATCATATATGAAAAATAAATACAAACAAAAAAGTTATAAAATCTTAAAATAAGAAGAAGAAATATTTATAAAAACGAATGAATGAGTTATATAAGATAATGAAATGTGATGTATGGTAATGTAGAAAAATAAAACATAAAATAGTTTATGGTAAAATTTTTTTTATTAATTTAAAATTCGTTTGGCCTTCTGCTCTAGAAAAGAGCTAAATCAATATGATTTTATTTGCTTAAGTATATAAGAATCCTAATATGATTTTAATTGTTTAAAGTTATAAGTGGAATCTTAATCTATGCAATTTTCTTATGTATATCCCATGGCGAGAAAATTATTGAAACTAGTACGGTGTCCGTGCGATGCACGGGAGCATTTACTATTATATATATTTTTTAAAATATATTTTTATATTTAAATTGTCCCATGCCATTAAAAATTTCATGAAAATAAAATTTATATGTTTGAAAAGATATTAAACACTTTCGTATGTACAACATTATTGATTTGATTCTTTGGCACGTAAACTACTACATAGGTGTTCGAAGTTATCCAAAATTGCATATTATTAGTTATTAGTTAACAAATTTTTAAAAAATTAAAGGATCTTATTTATTGAAGAAAATTAAAGTAGAAAAAAAAGTAAAACTTTTTAGGGATTTTCACCCATTATTTATTTTAAATCTAATTCTAAATTTCAATTAACAAAAATTGAAAAGAATCATTAGTTAGTCCCGGAAATGACCGATTTTTCTACCAATAAACCGATTTTTTTATCAAACATATTGATCCAATTTTTTTTTAAAACCAAATAAAAAAATCATCAATTTTTCCTAAATATGCAACCAAATTTTCCTAACATTGCACCAATTTTTGTACCAAACAAATTGAATTAAAAATAATTCTAATAAAAAATTGAAATAAATTGTTAATGTTTATGCAACTGTCTCTTTCCTAAAGAAAATGATAAAAAAAAATGATATGAACTTACCAAAATCTCGATAAACATGGTTAAGAAAAAACATAAGAATCCAAAAAAATCGATGCATTTAAATTTTGAAAAGTTGCACATATTTTTTCCTAAATAATTGGATAGGGGACTTTAAATATCAAGGATGAACCGCTTTTGTTACCAAAAAGTGTGGACACAATTTTGAATGTACATTTCGTCCAAATATCAGTTTTATTTTAAAATAAAAATTGCACGTGGCATTATCCAATTTACACAATTTTTTTGAAAGAAAAAATTATTCAATAAGATTGTTAGAATTGGTTAACAATTATACAACTATTTGTTTTCTAAATTTGTATCCAATTTGCACGGTTTATAAATTAATTTGTATTTAGAATTGTTTTCATAAATAATTGACACATTTTTTGCATAAGAATCTCCAAATTTGTTACCAAAAAAGATATGATTTAAATTTTAGTAAAAAAATAAAATATGATACGAAAAATATGGGATTCAAATTTTGTCATAAGAATCTTCAAATTTGTTACAAAAAAATAGGATTTAGATTTTGTTACTAAAGATTCACATGTGTTTTTTTAAACTTTCCATTAATAGTAAGTCAAACATTATATTTATTTTGTCAAACTTTCTATTAATGTATTTTTCCAACAATCTCTTTATATATATATAGATATAGATTCGCCTTCAATTATTTCTTTTATTAATTAAAAATCATCACTTTCTGTTATAGAAAAGAATAAGAATCTCAATACGATTTTCTTCGCTTAAATATATTTATGATAAAAAAATATTAATTTATATCCAAATCTAACTCCAAAACATGATTTTTTGCCAAATAGAATTTCGAAGCATGATAATTTGCCACGTAGGCTCAACGCATTCTGAAATTATACATAGAGGAGAAGATTAATAAATGTTATGCTTTACTTTAATTAAGACATTATATCATAAAAAATGGATATTTCGGAAAACATTTCGTTTAGGCTTTGTTTGTTTATAAAAAAAAAAACTAGAAAAAAAATTATTTTAATTCAAAATCTCAACTTTAATTCAACTCAATTATTCTCAATATTATAAATACAATTAATAATTATTGTTGCACATCACATCAATTTTAATTCATTATTCATCCATTCACATAATTTTAATTACATATAAATCTTATTCTTCTTCTTTTT